GAGGGGGTAGAGAGTCGAGAGGGGAGCTGAAGGCTCGGTCAAAGAGAAAGGTCTTGAGACCGGCCTTGAAGGAGGAAAGGGAGGAGGTAAGGCGAAGGCACTGGTGGATAGAGTTCCAGAGCTTAGGGGCTGAGAGGCTTAATACAATCTTAAGTGGGGTAAAAGAACAGAGAGACCCCATCACCCCCATCCTTGCCCGATTCAACTGGCTTCCCATTACACAGAGGATACAGTTCAAGATCCTGGCCCTCACCTTCAAAATCCTCCATGGTCTTGTTTCCTCATACCTCTGTGACCTCCTAAACCCCCTACCATCCTGTTCACTCCCTCCGCTCAGCGGGTTCCGTCCTGCTTCACATCCCCCGCTTTGCTCGACCCACTATTGGCGGGCAGGTCTTCCGCCACTCTGCCCCACCCCTGGAACTCCATCCTGCAGTCCCTCCACATCGCCCCCTCCCTCGCCAGCTTCAAGACCCATCTCAAGACCCTCCTCTTCGACCGTGCTTTCGATCTCCCTGCTTCCCCCACTGCCCACCCTCCTCCCCCACCCCAACCCCCAGCTTGGGTCTATAACTCTGTCTGTGCAGCGCCTTGGGACGTCCTCCCGACGTGAAAGGCGCTTTACAAATGTAATTCTGTTGTTGTTGTTGCTTGTGTTGTGCATCATCACAACAACAACAACTTGCGTTTATATAGCGCCCTGTTAGATTATATTTGTGATGTTTACTGTTTTTTAAGGCTTTTAATTCATCTTTATATACGTTTAGAATGTAACCTACCCATAATCCTTTAATAAGTTTTATTTGATTTAATGACTAGCTTAGCAGGGGTTAAAAGGAGCTGCCGGTTGAGGTCTGATTTAAACGGGGACAGTCTCAATACCTGTCTATCTAAACAAGCAGGCTGTGGAAGGCTGCCCAGATATTGTCCATATCTTTCTTCTTATCGGCTATTTTTCCATGCGACAAGAGCCAGCTCAAAGATTGCTAGCAGCCTGCGAGGTGTGGGGGCTATCTCGGTGACAAGGGAAGGTGGAGTTAGAAACACATAAAAGGAAGATGTAACTTTGGAACAGTTGGAGTTGTGCAGAGGCTCAGCGCACTTCCCAGTGGAATCGATATTGATTCTACTGCGTCTACGTATGCGTACAGGGGTGAGGGAATTTACCTCCAGTAAGAAAGCGTGACCATGAAAAGCGAAAGAGGAGGGAGGAGTAGTGTTTTCGGTTCTGTTTGCTAGGCACAGAAGTAGTAACAGTAGTAATGGTTGGTCCGTTTGAAACACAGAAGTCAGGTTAGACAGTACAAGTGAGGTGCTGGGCTAAGAGCTGATTGTTTCGGTTGGGTTTCCAGGAGCCACTCTCTGTGATAATTTATGTATGTCGAGGTGTGATCCCAGGTCTACTGTTTAGTCTTGGAGTACGAAACAGGGCCTGGATACGTGTTGTCGTCCCTGCGTTGTTAGTACTTAAAAGACAGTACTGGGGATTGTCTTTGTGTGTGTTATCGTCCCTGTATCGTCAGGACTAAGAGCAGCAAGGTACTGTGAGAATCAGCTATATCTGAGGAGCGATTCCAGAGGCTGAACTCCATACTGGTGCCAGTTAAAAGACAGTGCTGGAGATTGTCTGCCTTCCGCAGTTTTGTGTTACAGAATTCAGTTGTCCCTGAGGGTTTTCCAGGGGCTGATCTCTGCTGTGTATTTTGAGGTGTGTTGTTTGTCTGGAGTACTGAGCAACCCCTGTGCATGCTGTGTGGTAAATGTTTTGGTCACATAGATGTGTTGTATTGTTGTTGTGTTGTTATATGCAATATAATTTGATTACAGATTGTTAAACCTTGTTTCATCTTGTGCAATAAACTCTATACTCTGTTCAATTATTAACAAATTAATGACCGCAGCAGGACCGCAGATAAGAACTAATTTAATTAACAGTAGGACAGTTAGGAGTAGTAACTCAGGGAGGACGAATAAGGAAATCAGATAACGCTCAGGGAATGGTAGAAATGTCTGAGGATAGCAAAATGAAAGGTTTCAGGAAGACCATTAAGACTTATGAGGGAAAAGTTCAGTTAGAAGCCAAACAGTGGCGCAAAGCATTTACTAAAGTGATGACAGGGTCATCAGAACCATATAAGATTACATTGCACCATATTGGTTTGTCAGGTCATTGATTCGAATCTTGGGGATCAGAAATCCCAACAGCCCTCCACGCTGGGCGACATCTCAATGGGCGACGTATCAATGCCGGAGGCCGAGGACGAGCCAGGGGGAGGGGGAAGGTGACCGTAGGTGCGGTCGAAGAGGACGGTCTTCAGGCGCGACCCAAAGATGGGGAAGGAGGGGGTGAAGCGAAAGGGTTGAGAGAGGGTGTTCCAAAGTTTCGGGGCATAGTTGCTGAAGGCACGGCTGCTGATGATGGAACGGAGGTTCGGGTGACACGAAGGAGGTCGGACCCAGTAGAATGGAGACAGCAGGTACTGCTGTGGGGAGAAAGGAGGTTAGAGAGATTAGGGGGGTGCCAAGGAATGGAGGGATGTAAACACTATAGTTTGTAATGATAGCTTTGAGTGAAAGCTACCTGAGTTAAAGGAAGCTGAATTAAAGGAAGTTTACATGACAAATTAAAGAGAAAGATTACTCTGCAGGAAGTATCTCCAGCACTCAGCAACATCCAAAAAATTAGCGATCGAGAAATGTCTATTGGGAAAGTATTTTAGCAAATAGCTGCAGCCTGGCATTAATCCAACCTGTTTAGACATAATTACATCTGTGGAGATGAGTCATGATGATTATTAATATTGTGCTTTTTGTTGTGCTACTTTGTGATTTCTTTGTGAACAAGGATGTTTATTTCACAGATGAACAGTGACTCACAGAGAGTGTCGCTGCCAAAATCATGCCACTGTTTGCAGATCATTACTTGTGCATTTGTGATTAATACCTCTGCAGGTTTAGGGTGATCTCTGTTATTAAACTGATGTTTTACAGGATAATGCGAGGTGTTATGCAGCAATCTGCACAAGGTGCCAAGGAGACACGCAGAGAAATCTAGTAAAAGGGCTTACATACTGGTTTTGGAAAGGAACAACACTGATCGAAAAGAGAAGGGAATCCAATTTACAATATACATCCTGTGAAGCGCTTTGAGACATCTCAACGACGTTGTGAGGCATTATATCAAATGCAAGGATTATTATTAATTACATTTCTTCGATGGATGAACACAACCTGAACTCCGATTATACAGACATACAACGAGGATGAAGGATAATGCACGTGAGGACTGGAACTGGCTCTTGATTCCTCTTTCACTTGCTCTCTGTGCATTTCAATCCTTGCCTCCCCCTCCCCTCTCTGTCCATATTGCTACATGAAGCAAGCTTCCTGTCTGATCTTAAATTGCTCTGGGTTTGAGTTGGCTTTGAGGTTGTTTTGAATGGATGAATGGAAAAAAAGGTCAAGAGACCGCAAACCTGGCACAACGAGGAGGTCGTTGGACTTTCTCATGAGGTTTAGTCAACATCATTGATTTTAACTAAAATCATCTGAAGATTTATTGGATAAATAAACAGAACACATAGTGGGGAAATAGTGGAATACTTAATTTCACTCGTAATGAAGTGCCCCAAAGTGCAGTGCGACTTCAGTATTCAAGAGTTATTAGGTCTTTCATGTTGATGAAATACCTGGAAGGCCTTGTGCTCTCTATCTGTCCCTTGAGCTCTTCGGAATAGGCTAGTGCTGACTAAATCAATGAGTTTCCATTTATATCTAATGCTCTATTCTGTAAGTAGTGAATTGAGGTTCTTTTTTCACATCTCGATCCAAGATTCTCCTATCTTGATGCAAGAATAGAGTTTGTTTTCATCACATTTATTTTGCAGTTAGATCTCTCTGACTGTGAGTGGGAAGCATTGAATCAGGTCAAAGGTGGCTCATACCCTGCATCCTGAGAATTGAACTGAACCTACAGAGCCTGGTTAACTCTGGAAGGTATTTAATAATCATTGCATTTGATATCGCGCCTTATCACACCAGCGAGAAAGTGCTTTGCAGGATTTTTACTGTGCAATGCAGTGATTGTGTATTCTGTACACAACCTGGTAGTGTACGTTTGAACACAGCAATGCTCCACAGACAGCCATGACTCGAGAGGCGAAAGTGCTGCCAACTGTGCCAGGCTGACAACACAACAGTCTTTACACAACACCAACTTGGATTTATATAGCGCCCCTCACCAGGGTAGGGTCCCAGAGCCCCTGAGCTCTACACATGAACAAAAGCTTCACAAGACAAAACTGATTAAAAATGAAGTGTCAATGTAGTTTTGCCAACAGACAGGGCAGTGAGTCTGTACCAGTGAGCTTCCGAAACAAAGAAGGAATTGAGCCTTTCTTCTTCCCTTGTTGGGATTTCCAATCCCCAAGGTTTGAATTTCCAATCCCCAAGGTTTGGACTCCATCCCACAGTCCCTTTGCCTCGCTTCCTCTCTGGCCTCCTTCAATCCCGGTCTCAATACCCTCTTCTTCGATCGTACCTTCAGTCGCCCTCCCAACATGAAAGGCGCTCTATAAATGTAATTTTGTTGTTGTAGCACCCAAGTGCATGGCACATTCCTATTCATTGAACCTGAATCTGACCTAAGGCTGAGTGTCAAATATGTGATCTGGTGGCTGGTGCCAAATATGTGATCTTCATGAATCCAACTCTGTGGTATTATTCACCTTAAATGTTCCCACCACCCACCCCCTCTCACAACCTCTCACCCACCCATCTAAATATCCTCACCCTCCACTGAAACTCTATTATAAAGTGTTTAAGTCCCAGCTGTAAGCCCTCCCTCTCCCTCTGATGAAGGTGATCTCAGCTCATGTCAGACTGGTTAGACAGGATCCAATCACAGGCATAAATGCCGACACAAAGAGGCCAAGGTGCACAAGCAGCAGATTGCGGAAATAGTTGGTTTCACCCTCCACAGCCTGAAGTTGCCTGACGTGGACGTGGAACACAGTGGGTGAGAGGTTCGTGAGGAGCAGCAGGAGGAGTTAGATTCACTGCAGTCTTGGCTCCTGAACTTTTGTGAGGCTCCCGGCCACTTGGCCAGGAATGAGCCAGGCGCTGCGATGGCCATGGACCTGAGCAGTGGGAGCGGCAACTACAATCACCAGGTGAGAGTTGAGATGAAGTTGGTGAGTTACAGTCTTGCACCAGAGGAGAATTTCCAAAAGCGACTGTAAAAGTGTTGGGCTGAAGGCTGTAAACTGGGGCTTGGAATTTCCCAGCCCTGGACAGGAAACGACTTGTTGATCTGAGTACTCCTTGTTCAGTGAGTGGTTTGGGGCTTGTATCTTGTTTTTTTTTGTGTGTGTGTGTATGTGTGTGTCGAGAGAGCCAGGTGATCGAAGGACAGACACTCTTAGGAAAGTTGCTTTAGAATAATAAATAGAATAACCTGTTCGTTACCTGAGATTGCTATATTTACAAAATATAAGGAATACTCCAGGTTTGTTTGGAGTTGAAATTATTGTGTGTGTGTGTGTGATGATTTTCTCTTTTGGAGGTTGTTTGATTTCATTACAACAGATGACAAGAGACCATGTTCCAACTCAAAAGGTGAGACGAAATACCAACCTCACCTGAGGAGTGTTTGGATCAATGATTTTGCCTTTAGCAATAATAAGAAAGAACATTCCTTACATTTAATTTTGTGCTTGTCACGTCAAAGCATTTCTCAAAGCGCTTCTCAGGGGTTTCACTTGAACAGTGACATGTAATGCAATGACTTGACTATATTTGTAGGCGAACAAGACCATTTAAGTGTGAATAATTTGATATATTACACTATAAATCACTTTGTCTGCATTAAACATTAACCACTGGATATGCAGAATGTGCTACAATATTTTAGGGTATGTAGTGCTTGGTGCCTTACATGCAGGTGTTTGGATTACTGACTTGTTTCGATTTGTGGAGTCCTGTAGCTCAGTGGTTAGAGCACTCGCTTTGCAAGTGAGAGACCTGAGTTCAATTCCAGGCAGAGGGCGAAACCTTGGGCAAGTTTCCTTACTCCACACAGAGCCTAATAATAATCCCTCCAAAACCAAAAACAATAATAAATTGGTCATTTTCAATCCACGACTGTTTGTGGGACATTGCTGTGCGTAATTGGCTGCCGCGTTCGCCCACAGATATACAGTCAATTCTCTTTACAGTATATTCTGTGAAGCGCTTTGGGACGTCCTCCCGACGTGAAAAGCGCTATATCAAATGCAAGGATTATTTTATTATTATTGTGGGCAGTTTCATTTTAATCACAGAGATTTCAATCCCCAGCATAATGGGGGACGAGGTTTGAGCAAACTTCCTTTTGATCTATATTAAAGGAAACTCCCTTTTAGATTCCCACAACACAATTTACATTCATATAACGCCTTTCACATCCTCAGCATAATGGGGGACAGAGGTCTGTGCAAACTTCCTTTTGATCTGTATTAAAGGAAACTCCCTTTTAGATTCCTACAAGACAATTGAATTGAAAAAGGGTCCCAGCTAATACCTGTTTTCTTTGGCACAGAGCCTGACATTTGTGTTTACATTGCCATAAACAGGTATTATCCATTATCAGCATAAATTCTCTGCAGCCTTGTTAAGTCTTCTATTCAGGGCATTTTTTTGGCACAGTCTCACCAGCTCAGCTTTGGGCTTTCCAGGTGATTTTGTTATGAAATCAGGATCCACACCTTCTTCTCCTAAGATTACAGCTATATTTGGCAGTGTGATAAATAGAGGTGGTTCCCTCTGTGAAAAAAATAGAGATGGTTTTCAATCGAACGTTCTTGTCATGGAGAAGCTGCTTGCAGGTTGTTTTATCTCTGTGTATCTTCAGAATATCTCTCAGCATTATTACTGTGGAACTAAAACAGTGTTTGCTGGAAACATTCAGCAGGTCAGGCAACATTTATGGAGAAAGGAAAGTGAGTCAACATTTCGGGTCCAAGACCCTTCATCAGAACTGTGGCATGTTGGGAAGGAGAGGACTGCAACATTTAGGACTACAACAGCAACAACAAACAACAAAATTACATTTGTAAAGCGCCTTTCACGTTGTGAGGACGTCCCAAGGCGCTGGACAGACCTGAACAGAGTTACGGACCCGAGCTGGGGGTCGGGGTCAGGGAGGGTGAAGGGCAGGGGAGGGAAGCAGGGAGATCGAAAGCACGGTCGAAGTGGAGGGTCTTGAAATGGGTCTTGAAAGTGGCAAGGGAGGGGGCAGGGCGGAGGAACTGCGGGATGAAGCTCCAGAGGGTGGAGGCAGAGGGTGAAGGCCCGCTCGCCAATAATGGGGCGAGTGAAGCGGGGGACATGAAGCAAGCCGGAGCCCGCTGAGCGGAGAGAGAGAGCAGGATGGTAAGGGGTTAGGAGGTCACAGAGGTAGGGGGAGCAAGACCATGGAGGGCTTTGAAGATAAGGACCAGGATCTTGAACTGTATCCTCTGTGTGATGGGAAGGCAGTGGAGTTGGGTAAAGATGGGGGTGATAGGGTCGCAGAGCTTAGTGCGGGAGAGGACATGGGCTGCAGAGTTCTGGATGATCTGCAGCCTGTGGAGGGAGGAGCCTAAATGGGCTTTTTTGCACCTTCTGAATAGTCAAATTATTAGTTGGTTTACTATGATAGCATAGTGACACAATTGATTTGCTTGAACTGATTATTGAAAAAAATGTCTATTTTGGCCTCAACTTCAGAAATGTGTGTTAACCGGCTGTGCTTTGCTGACTGTTAAATATTCTCGTTCATTGCAGCTAAGCAACGAGGAACAGATCTGGCTACTCAATGCTGTGAAAAACCAAAAAATCACCGTAGAGCGAGCCTGGGAGATTGCACAAACCATGAAGCAACCAGCTCAGGACACAACAAAACAGGAGCAAGTAAGTTAATTGTAATATTCTTTTCATTAGTTTTTTTCAGGTTTATTCATTCTTTTTTGGCCAGAAATTCCACCCAATTAAGGCCTGTTTGGACCATTGCCTTAAAGTTTAACATGGCACAGAGTTGGGCCACACTCTTACATTTGGGCTTAAGTTGAAAGCTGGTTGGGTTTTTTAAAAGATTCTTAAAAAGAATTCCAGGGCCTTTTACCCTCTATGTTAGTGAAATCACTTGGATATAGTTGTGTGATATCACCAAATAATCTGTCAAATAGATAATAATAATAATATTGCTTACATTTGCACAGTGCTTTTTATGTAAGTCCTAAAGCACTTCAAAATATATACTGTACAGTGACTGTGTATTTTGTGGGTGAATGAGACAGCCAATTTGCACACAGCGGTGTCCCACAAGTAGCCATGAAGTGAATGAACAATTTTATTTGGAGGGATTGTTGTTCAGGACGATAGTACCCTTACCTTTTCAACTGATGCTGTGGGATCTTTAACGTTCAACTAAACATACAGTTCTGGACCTCAGTTTAATGTGGGTGGATGGATGGGGGTAGGACTTCATAGAGGAACCTGCCTCTGACCCTCGCCTGCTGTCCACACATTGTCACCTCCGGCAGAAGGTCTCTGGAGGGCAATCAGGAACTGGGCTGATTTTCTGGACAAATGGGCAAATTGGTTGAGTGGCTTCAGTCTCTTGCGAACAGCTTTGAAATTTTCTCTGCAAAGTTAGAATCTGTGTATCCAAACTTTGTTGTACGCGGGTACCAACTAACTCTATTGATCTCCAATTGTTTAGCTGCCTGAATACGATACACAATACAACTTTTGTATCTACAAATACAACCGATACAGGTGGCAGAAAAGAGTACTGCAGGTAAGCTAACCTAAACGATTGCTCTGCTATTTGAAGCGGCACTTTTTTAGTATTGGTCCCTTAAGGGTGATTGTTTGTGTGCAATGTTCTGTGAAGCTGATATGACATTGTTTTCTTTTTCCGTTGAAAAGGTTTCAAATTTCAAAACTGTGCGTGTGTTGGACTAGGGGGATTGCAGTGAAGAACTTCAGCAGGATGTTTATGACTCCACTGCCCTTGTATCTAGATAAGATTAAGAATAATAATTAATCCTTACATGCAATGAAAGGGCAAAGCTTACTATTGACGCAGTGCTGATCCAGGTCTGAATTACTTGGGTGTATAAAGTGTTATCCAATTCATGTCACGTCTTTGATTTATTTCAGTTAACATTTTCTTGGAGAGTTGGAGATTGTCACTAGAGATTTACTGAAGGCATGTGACTTTATTCACCATATCCTGTGGTAGAAGTCAGAGTTGTACACTGGTGGGAAATAGTAATAATAATCCTTGCATTTGATATAGCGCTTTTCACATCTTCTAGACGTTTTAAAGCACTTCACAGAATAGAATGTAAAGTGAATTGACTGTATATTTGTGGGTGAAATGCCCTGCAGTGTCCCCTATGCTGATACCCAGCACCTCAAACAAGGATAGGGAAAGCCATTCACAAAGCAAAAGTCCTGATCAGATGCTCCTCACAACCCCACTGAGCAATATTTCCCACCATCATACAATACAATACAAAATTACATGTGGAAAGCACCTTTCATGTCGGGAGGACATCCCAAGGCTCTGACTCCTATCACAGGATATGGTCAATGAAGTCACATGGCGACAATCTCCAACCTTTAATGGGGAAAAAAAAGGCTACATTCACAGCAAAGAAAATGTTATGAGTCATCTGAAACAAACCAAAGACGTGGCCTGAATTGGATACCACTTTAGAAATGCATCAAGTTCAACAGATATTTCATAGGAAACTTGGATCCACATAACTGTCTGACAGCTCCAATACTTCTGGTCTGGCTTTCAATTCTCTCATGAAATAGTTTCCGTGTTTAGTGAGCTCGGATGCCTTGTCGTTTAAATGTGAGCTGCCCCATGCCACTGGATCCTGATTTGTTCAGTCTTTGTTTTGTGCGTTTCTTTTCCCAGATCGATTTTACGTCAAGGATCTTGTGTAATATTGCACAAGGTATCATTAAAAAACAGTTCTCGTTCAAAAACATCAAATCGTGTGAGCACATTGACGGGCAGAAGATCAGCATTTCCTTTTTAGGACATCATGACTACGAGGTTGAAGCTACCTCCGCTGAAGACAGAGTGAAGGTAACCTTTCTGCTCGTGCCCAAGCTGTGGTTCAGAGAATTCATTCGCAGAGTAACTGGGCTCAAAAGTCTGATTTCTATTTTTAATCCTTGGTCTAACCTGAATTGGGTTACCTGAGCTGGGCTGGCAGAAGAGGTACAGGGTGACGTGTGATGTGACTGCCAGGATGGTGGCAGGCTAAATGGATGGACCTTATTCTTCTTTCGTCTAACAATTCTTTTGTTCTTATGTTAAATTCCCGCCTTAAACCCTTATATAGGCAATTCTCCCACCACCTGTCCCTTGCCTTGCAAATGTTTCCCAAATGCTTCCCTAAGTTGTTGTTGTATGAGACGGCTTAGAATGATCAAAAATGATGTACTATTTTGAAGCACATTTGCGACCAGGATTCTGGTCTCTTTTGTGGTTCAAGTTCTTCCGGCACATGTAAAGAGTGACAAAGCTCTCATTAAGTTATTAGCATCACTGTGGAAGGCAGCGTCTTTAACGTCTGCTCATGGTGAGAGGGGCTGGCTTTCCAGACAGCCAACACTGTGGCAATATTATGGAGCTCTTTGCACAGTTCCCATTTCTGGCCCCCGTTCCATTGGACACTTCTTCATTAGGAAGATGGTCATCTAGCCAGTAGGACTATCCAATGCTTGTCCAGTACCCCTGTAGATATCTTCAGTGATGCTCTTTGTTTGATGTCAGAAGGAATCTCACCAGTCCGTGTACTCTTCCAATTATCTACCAAGGAGAGACATAATAATAATAATCATAATCTTTGCATTTGATATAGCGCCTTATCTTCGAAATGTCTCAAAGTGCTTCACAGAACATGCCGAAAAGTGAATTGACTATTTTGTGGATGATTGTAGAAATCCAGCAGAATTTTGATCTGACACTTAAATTAACTCGTGATAAACCATTTGTCTTTGGTTGCGAGTCTTTAAAAGTCAAACGTACGAGTTTGTTACATTTGTGTCTCAATTTAGCCACCCCTTGGAATCTTCGTTTCGGAGAGCTTCGGTGCATTTTTAAACAGTGTTACCGTTCGTTTTTTTCTTTTCATTTTCATTTCAGATTGTACAACTCGTGAACCAAATCATTCAAAGCAACATATACGAGATCCACAAGACAAGCAAGAGCGGCGGTGATGGTCTCAGAAAACAGCCAGGCGTCATAAAAGAAGGGCAGCTGGAATTACAAAAAGGAGGGCTGGCTTCAATGAAGTGGAGGAGGTAGAAACTGATTCCCTGTCCTGCTCAAGTTGTCTCCCGCTAAGTTTTTAAATGCACATCCCTCTTATGCACATTAAAGTCTTTGGAATGCTGTGTATTTCCCTCAGTCCAGTACAGGACTAACTCCTATCTTGCCTCTTAGTCAGTGGGTTCAAACCCCCATGTTTGCTCTGACACTCAGATACTGTGCTGGGGTGGATGTGCTGCAATGTCGCAAGTATCATCTTTGGGTGATGGTTGTTCCATAGGCGCCCAGGGCATCCTCTTCAAATCCTCCATGTTCCCAGCATGTAATGCGTCTCCCACAAATCTTTGTTGACAAATTTTTATTTGTCCCATTGTGTTGTAGTACTCAGTTTCAGACACAAGAGGACACTAAAGCATTGAAGTAATTCAACTGGTGGGACACGTGGGGCAGGATGCTCACCTGAAGATAATTTTCTCCACATCTCCGAGCGTGCAAAGTTGCTTAAATTCAGTCGTAATTTGGAAACGCTTCCCCACTGGCTATTTCCAGAAGTATAGGGATTCCAAGTTAAGATTGAACATGAGAATTTGCAAAAATCAGAGATGTCTAGGAAATAGTTTTAAGTATAGATCCACACAGATTTTCTGGCCACTGGAGTCTTAAGCTTTAGCACATCGTAGCCAGATATAAACCGAACCCGAGTCTCTGAAAAGAGAAGCCTTCAGTTTCAGTGCCATTGCATATTCTTTCTTTCAGATACTGCGTGCGATTGACTCTGGCAGAGCTGTGCTTTCAGCGCCTCAACCCTAGTGAAGCGAGTGAGCTTTTGGGCTTAGCTCCAAATGTGATTCATCTGTCAGATGGTTACGCAAGTGTGCATAAGGAGATGAGAACTGATTCCTTCACTGTGATCACAAAGAAAAACTGCTACTTGTAAGTGACCTGCTCTGTGTGTGGCCTTTGGGTAAATCTTACAATCTAATCAGCAACGGAGGGTTTCTGTGAAGGAGAAACCAATAAAGGAAGAGTTGCTCTGAATGTCAGAGCAATCATTGAATCATTTCTGCATTTGGGTGGAGTACGGTAAACTTCTTCTTCGTGTCCATTCTGTGTTTCCAATTTGCGTCAAATCTTTTCTGGCAGTTTTACTCTTGTACTAGGAGATTTCACATGTGAATATCCTTCCTTTCTTTCAAAGGAAATCTTGCGTCTTGCTGTACTTGTGCTTCTAGTGACCATTGGAGTGCAGTGAGAATCCTACCCTCTGTCCAGGAAAGGGGCTCTTGCTTGAGACGTGTTGATATGGTGTGAAGACAAGGGTTCTTTACAGTTCAAGATCCTGGTCCTCACTTTCAAAGCCCTCCATAGTCTTGCTCCCCTCTACCTCTGTGACCTCCTAACTCCCTACCATCCTGCTTGCTCCCTCCACTCAGCGGGCTCTGGCCTGCTTCACGTCCCCCAGCTTGCCCGCCCCACTATTGATGGGTGGGCCTTCAGCTGCTCTACTCCCACCCTCTGGAACTCCGACCCACAGTTCTCCGTCTCGCCCCCTCCCTTGATTCCTTCAAGACCCGTCTCAAGACCCTCCTCATCGACTGTGCCTTTGGTCACCCTCCTTCCCAACCCCTTGCCCCCCACCCTCCCCGGTCCTGACCCCCAGCTCGGGTCCGCACTGTACAAATGTAATTTATTATTGTTGTTGCTTATCATACAGAGATGACCACAGATAGCGGCAAGCTACAAGGGACTGTTTGAAGAGATTGTAGATTGCAGAAGTCCTGGCCATTCAGGAAGTATTAAAGAATCAAATGCAAGGATTATTATTTATTAAGAGTCCCCACAAGACAAATAGTCACTAGGACCACGTACAGCAGAACATAAGTGGATTTCTTTGAAAGAAAGGAAAGATAATCACATTTGACATCTCACAACTCAAGAGTAAAACTGCCAGAAAGGATTTGGCTTAAATGAGAAACCTGAAAGGCTTCATTGTGCTCCACTCAAGTGCAGAAATATTTGATGATTGCTCTAGTGCTGAAGAACTAGAAGGCTGATCAATGGAAACATGTCCTGTAAATGGCTTTGCTGCGACATGCAAACCCGCTTAGCATTTAGCCCTAAGTGTCTTGTGGGTTCCACTATACTCAATAAATGGGATTGAAAAAGTCAATACTATAGGATGTATCATGAGAGTAGAACAAGAACACTTAGGTATAGAGTTGGAAAAGACAATGTCAGGACAGACACCAGGAAGGTTTTCTTTACCCAGAAGGTAACCAACGACCGGAACAGGTTGCCAGGTAGTTGAGGCTAGGACACTGGACTCATTTAAAAAGCAGTTTGATCCAGTGATGGGTGGGAGGGTTGTTCTGGAGGGATGAGATTGGGATGGGCTGAAGGGCCTTCTTCATCCAGAACGATCTTGTGAAGTAATGTGTGGTACATGCTGAGTAACAAGATGACTATGCAATGACTTGCCCTTTTCTCAGTGTACATATATCTTGATAGTGGGTGTATATGTGGGCAGGGGGAGTTGGGTTGTTCAATTGTCACAGCTACGGAAATGTGAATGAGTAAGACTAGGGAAATCTGTGTTCTAGATGGAACATCTCAAACTGACAAAATAGTTATTTTGAGAAGTCTCAATGACGTGGTAAGCGCTATATCAAATGCAAGAACTAACATTATTACGGATCAACTCCTTTAGAAAAGGTCTAAGTTCCCTTATGAATCGTGATATACATATATTAGCTGGTTACATAGAATTACATAGATTACAGCACCAAAACAATGCATTTGTCCCAACTCATGTTTATACTTGACAAGAGTCTCTTAATCCCCCTCCCTAGCCTCCCCCTAAATCCTCTATTCCCTGCTCCCTTATGTAGTTAGCAATGTGCACTGAATTTGTGAGAATGTTTGAAGGAACCTATTAAGCATTATTAAACCTGAGCTTTTAATTTGATATTTAAAAGGTATCTATGTTGTTTAAAATATTTTTTCTTCGCTCTTAGATTCAAAATACCAGAAGCTGAGCATTTCAAAGTTATGGATGATTTAAGGAAGTGCCGTGATGAATGGATTGATGCTATTGACAAGTGCTGCCTGCACTGGAAGCGTATATCTCAGTCCCAGCTGTTTGCCGACAATAACCTGTACGAAGCTATTGAAAATTTGGCCCTCGAGATGGAGTCCACTGGTGAAAGTGCGTTGAAAGAACCTGGCTCCTCTCGAGAACTGAGCATGGAGAAGGATGAGACAAAGGTAGAGGAAAAGGCTGAAAATTTCCGTGAAGAGATAAAGAAGGCGGTGAAAGAGAAGAAAGGAAGTGAATCTCTCGCTCCAGTTAAGGAAAGAACACCACGCTCACCTTTTACACCAAGCGTGCTTCCCATTATAGCTCGGTACCTACCACCTCCACCACCACCTATTCCCTTACCACCTCCCTTCCCGTGTAAAGGGTCTGAAACTTCAGTGAAGACTAAAGTATTGCACTGGGAGGTGGTCGCTCCAGAAAAGGTGAGCAGTATCATTACGCCCTGTTTAAACACCCACCCTACCTTTCTTTCCCCCATCGCTGCATCAAGCTGCTTTTTTCCAGTGTCCCGGCCTTAGTCACGTTCTCCGGCAACCTGTTCCAATCACTGATTACTTGGTGCGTAGGTAACGAGCCAGGTAGCTGTTGGCATGTGCAGTAAACTGGCAGAGCATCCCCACCGGGTTGGGATTTTGTGTGTCAATCTGGCTCAGTGGTAGCACTCTCGCCGCTGAGTCAGAAGGTTGTGGGTTCAAGCCCCACATCGGTGCTTGAACTTACATAGGCTAAGCTGACACTCCAATTCGGTGGTGAGGTGTGTTTCATTGTTGCAGGTACCATCCTTTGGATGAGATGTTAAATCAAAGTCCCGTCTGCCTGTTCAAGTGGATGTTAAAGATCCAATGCCACTATTCCAAAAGAGAAGGGAGTTTCACTCACTCCACGGCTGTGCATTCAAAACTCTGCTGCCCGCATTCTCACCCGCACGAAACTCCGCTCCCCGATCACCCCAGTCCTTCCCAGAGAGGATCGATTTCAAGATCCTCACCCTTGTATTCAAGTCCCTGCACTCCTCTGCACCCCCTACCTCTCTGACCTCCTCTCTCCTCAAAACAGTACCCGTTGCCTTCGTTCCTCCGGATCTGGCCTCCTCCTCATCCCTCGAGTCCTCCGCTCCACCCTCGGCAGCCGTGCCTTCAGCCACTATGCCCTGAGGTTCTGGAACTGCCTTCCTCACTCCCTTCGTCTGGCTCCCTCCCTTCTCATTTTCAGGTCTCTGCTGAAGACCTTTTCGACTGCGCCTTTGGTCACCTTCCCTCCCCCTCCCCCTGACTCGGTCCCAGGATCCGTTACTGTAAAGCGCTCTAAGACGCCGTCCGGCATGGAGGGCGCTATATAAATCCAAGTTGTTGTTGTTGCGCAAATTGGCTGCTGTGTTCACCCACAAATACAGTCACTCCACTTCACAATAAATCCTGTGAAGCGCTTTGGGACATCTTCCTGACATAAAAGGTGCTTTACCAAATGCAAAGATTATTATTTCAGTATTATTTTTATTGTTTTATTGGATCCCAACTACCACATTATTTATAACAAGGCTTCACTGTATATGCAACATTGACACCTTAAAGAATGTGTTTGAAACCATTGTGGAAGAGTTACTTGAGACAAAGATCAGTGGCGGCTTGCATCAAGATAATTTATTTTCTTTCAGATTCCGAAATCTATTTGGGGACATAGCAATTCAACGAAGGTGCAATTGAACAGTGTAAGACTGCTTGATCAGTTCGCTATTCAAGATACCATAGCACTTAAAATCATAGTCAATGATTTTTCTCCCCATCAGCAGATCCTTCTGAACCAGAAAGTTGCCCACAATTTCAGTAAGTTTAAATACTGCAGTTGCTGCCATTGAAGAGAGATGACTGTACGGTGCGTCCTTTTCGGTCGAGGTGGCAATACCTTTGTTCATTGAGTGCTACGAGATTAAAAGTGTCTTGTCGCCTTTTATCGTTGCAATCCTTTGTTATTCATAAAAGGAATTTTAACGCACAAGGAAACAAATGGTGTAAAATTGTAATGCTGTGAAGTTATTTCGGTTAATTATTGTTGCGTGTGGCAGTTTAGGAGGGAGCACATGAGGGCAGATATTAGAACAGGAGATGAAGCAGAGCAGGATCTTATGTGGATGCAACAGATAGGCAGCAAGGAGCGCTTTTGGTCACAAAGTTGTCCTGCAGGCTGAATGTAACTCTACAGCTGATAATAACAACAATAAAAGTCATATAATTGATACAGTCCCATTCACGTCGAGAAGATGAATCAAAGCACTTCACAGGATTTGCTGTAAATTGCACTGATTGTATGTTATGCGGCTTGTTACATTAGGCAAATTGGTTGCCGTCTTTGTCTCCATCTAAGGAGAGTTCTGTCTGCCTGTCCAGGCGGATGTTAAGGAACCCGTGGCACGATTCTAAGTCAGAGGGAGCTTCTCTCGGGATGCCAGATAAATCGATCATTCACTTCATGGCTGTTTATGGACATTGCTGAGTGTAAATTAGCCTCTGGGTTTGCATATAAGTACAGTCACTGCATTTGACAGCAGTTCCCTGTGAAGCGATTTCTGACATTTTGCTGTTGTAGGCACTATATCATACACAAGTATTATTATTATTGTAATAAATGCTGGTACCAGCTGTTTCTCATAGCATGTATGTGCTTGAGAGTGTCTCCTGTGGGAGTGTTTTCAGGAATATAGATGGACTAGAGGAAGGAGAAAGAGATTATATCCTTTGTGGAAGATTTATCAGGTCAAGCATCAACTACGTGGATCTTGAGAAAGCAGTGGTGCTTGCATCTTTACCAGAACTGTTCTTGCTCATGTCTATTATTCCTGAACGCTGACCTGGAATCATCCTCTCATAGCCCCTGTTTTATCCAGAGATGTAATTTTCACCCTACAAGCTTTCTCCAGGCTTGAAGGATGAAATCTCTCAGTTGGATGTTGATTTGAAATATATAACCACATGCACAAAATACAGTCACTCCACTTTACAGTATATCCTGCAAAACACTTTGAGGCATCCTGCCGATATAAAAGGCACTATAACTATTGGAGGGATTATTCCCATCAACTTTTGGATTTGTTCATTTGCCAAACACTGTGAAGCAACAGGTGCACTCACGCAGCAAAGCCCGACTCAAATCACCTTAGTTCAGCTCTTTCGATCAATCGTGAGATGAATCTATGATAGAAGAAGGATAAATCACATTAGCTGTTGGGACATTCATGCCCACAGTGCTCAAAATTGTCACTCAAAAATGAGACCTCAAATAAATGGTCTAGTAAATGATGAGAATTAATTTTGAAATATTGCCTTTGACAGATATTTTTGATGGCCTTTCTCTTTAGCCTTTGCTTTATAGTTCATCGATGATGACTTTTTTTGTAAGGTACAAAGTGCCTATTATTTTTCCTTCCTATCTTAATGTAACAATGTTGTCATGAATAAGAAAGGAGGGAGGAGGTGGATTTAAGTGTCCCTTTTTTTTCTCCCCCCAGACATTTTTCTTAAAAGTTTCCCGGTCAAAGCAACCGAATTGAATGGAAAACTCTTGATATTACAGGAAGAAAATGGTGGATTAACAGACGAGCATATTACGTCATTGAGCAGGTAAATTTAGATAATAATAATAACCCTTGCATTTGATGCAACATCTTATCATGTCAAAGGCTGTTTAGTCCAATAACTATGTATTTTGTAGGCAAACAAAACAGTTAACTTGTGCACAGCAATGTCCTACAGTCAGTGAAGTCATTGATCAATTTTATCCTGAGAATTGTTGGCTAGGACAACTGGAAAATTCATTTCTCTTTTGCAATAGAACTGGAAAATCTTTAATGTCCAGCAGAATAGGCAGACTGGAGTTTGGTTTAACGCCTTATCCGAAGAATGGGGGCTTCATCTTAGATCATCAGCTCAAATCTGATCCCCCAATCCACAACCGTCTGAGTTGATAGAGATAATGTAGATGCAGTACCCAAGGAGATCACACCATATACTGTAACTTAATGATGTGTAGTTGGGTCCCTACCTAGTCACTACATCATTTACTGTCTGCAAATATTCTCAAAGAGTGAGCTGTCTGCTTAACAATGTAAACGGTATATTTTTCATGGACAAACCACTCAGCATGTGCTGCTTATATTGTCCCTTCAGATGTATTTTATAAAACAATATTTTACAGTGGAGTAAAGCGATAGATGGCCCTTATTTAATGGTGTCAAGCGTTATTTCAACTTGCAAGCCCTAGAGAGAAACAGGGAGAAAAGATTTGCTTCTAGATCAGTTTTGGTATAAAATGAAAAATTACATTCTGTATAGCATGCATTCAGTCATGCCAACAAAGCAATCTGAAATCACAGAAGAAAATGACTTGCCTCACAATGCCAGGCATTTCGCTGGAGCATCAAACTGTAGCACCCAGCAAGCTCCTACACACCGAGGTGAGCAGATTGGAGACACACTCAGAGCAGAACAAAGCACCGACTGAGCACCTTGCCCCACAAACCCCCACATAATTAGAGAAGGGGAGTTAAAGCACCACTTTAATCGGTTCCATACTAGAAAAGATAAGTACTTGCAGAACGAGAGTCACTTTTTTCCATTAAGATGAGTTTAGCAAGCGCTCACTTTTTGTGTATATATTATTTTCCCCATTAAAATCCATGTGAAAGCCAATGGTGAAAGCATAAAAGAACTTTCAAAGTTCTATTGCATGCTGATAGGAAAGAAGAACACTTGCGTTGTTTCCAACTGCACTGGAACCAAAGCACATAGGAATAAAGTGCACCATTAAACCCAGCTTTTTAAGCTTTTCATCTGATGAATTTTTAGCATGTAAACTGAATGCATTATGAGGGCTCCGGGGACATAAATTCTAGCCCAATTCTACCGCCAGCCTTCATCTTGTCTCCTGCAGATCATCCTCATGTATCCTCACAGTATATATGAGGGGGTTTGATGGAGGGGAAACATCTTTTATGATCAATATTGTGAAGTAACGGCTGCCGCATTTTGCCTACAAAATATACAGTCGATTCACTTTATGGTATATTCTGTGAAGCATTTTAGTTCGGGTGCCCAGCACTGATAAGCTTGTTGTGACATCTGACCCCGATATGAAAGGTGCTGTATAAATGTAAATTTGTATTACATTGTATTGGAAATACCAAACTCCCTGGATATGTCTGTGTAGATGCTCTCTACCAGTCCCCTTCAGTGACTGCAGCAGCTCATGCCTTTCCTCCCTTGATAAAAACATTTCAGATCGAATTTTGGGTAAGGTAAGATACAAGAAAACGCTTCACTGAGAGAGATCAGACAAGCAGGTTACCTAGTGCTACAGCCTGCCAATGGAAAGATCCTGATAATACAAACCTCACTACAACAACAACGTGCTCCCTTGTCCAGCATGCAACCCAATTGTACTGTGCACTGAAATGCCATCCGGCGTGAAGGACACTGTATAATTGTTTGTTGTTATTGTGATATAAAAAGTTTGTGACCACAAAGTAAGTCATGTATTTGGACTGCTGAAAATAACTTAAGTTTCACTCACTTGTATATTTTGTCTCACTAAGTCACCTTTGTATTTCTACAATAATATTATGTTGGGAAAACTGTTATGTGGAGGGGATTAGAAGATTCTATCTGCCACGCAGGTTAATGTAATTTGAGAAAGTTGCATACATGAGGGAGAAGGGAATAGAGGGGTATGGGAAAGGGAGATTGGAAAAGGGGATTAGGTGGAGGCTCATGTAGAGTACAAACACCAGCATGGACTTGTTGGGCTGAGTGGTCTGTTTCTGTAAAAATAATAATAATCCTTGCAGTTGATATAACGCCTTATCACGTCTTCAAGACGTCTCAAAGCACTTCACCGGATATGCTGTAAAGTGAATTGACGGTTTATTTTGTGGGTGAAATTAATCTGGTTAATCTGGACAAAATGATCACTGGATAATATAATTAATCATGTATAGATAATGTAATTGTATGAAACCAGTAAGTATATCATATGGAATCTGTCTAAAAGAAATGTAAAGTATAGTAATTTAGTTTCTACATTTCCAAAGTATAGCTATTTAGTTGATTTGAGATGATCCACCTAGAGCAAACAATTCCCAATCACTCATAATCATTGACATTGCACATTGCACAGCTGTATTTATAACAGAATGAAAGGTGTTCTTCTCATCCTTTGTGACATTTGTGTTTTCAGATATGTTCCCACACCAGATGATGTAGAAAAGTACAAATCTTACTCTGGCCGTCATAGTGACCTGCATATTGTGGACCAATATATGATGACGGTGAGGGAGGGCTCATTCAACTTTGCGGCATTCGGTAGTGGGGGGGAGGGGGGGTGGTTGACTGGCGGCTGAGTTTGCATTCGCACTGAACAAATCCATGTTATAGTTATGTCACAATTCAAATGATCCATTGCTTTTACAGAACACGATCTATACCACAATAATCATAATGCTTACATTTGACATTGGGAGGATGTCTCAAATCGCTGCACCGCATGTTACTGCGATGACTGTAATTTTGTAGGTGAACAGCTGATGTTCTTTATGTGGAATCCTGTTAAGCATTAAACACATCGTGGTTTTGGAGTAGATTTGGTGATGGACAACCAAATTCATACGTGAGCTAAGGCATCTGAGTTACGGGGAGAAACTGGGAATATTTTCATCAGAACAGAGCAGGTTGAAGGGAGACCTGATGGAGGTCATTAAAATTCTGAGAGATTGTGATAAGAGTCGATGAGGGAAACTTACTTCCACTGATCAGAGAATCGTTGGCGAGAAGTCAGCAAATTAAGATAATTGCTATTGCCACAGGAGCAAAGATCATTAGAGAGGTTCAGATGAAGAAGACCCTTTGGCCCTTAAACCTCATCCTCCAGACAACCCACCCTATAACCTATTTTGTTTTAAAATGGGTCCAGCGACCCAGCCTCAACCACCCTTCCCGTTAATTATCCTCTTGGTGTCTGACCTGAAATTGCCCTTGGCAACTCTAAACCTACATCTTCTTGCTTTCTTGTCTTGATGCATTCAAAAGTATTGTTCTGGGATTATGTTTTGAATCCCACGTCATACAATGTAGCACTGCGATGTGACACCACTATGAGAATTGGCTTTAACGTTCCTGTCGAAAGTGATGATTAAACTGCGTTGCTAATTTACAGAATTAAATTATGATGTATCTTATTCAGTTGCTCACAAAATGATGGTAAACATTATTTTACTTCCCCTATAGATGTGCCATATAACCTACCTAAGGCAGAGACTGGATTTGATAGTTACCGTACGAGAGCTTCCTGTTAGTATGCGCAATCTTCAGCCGGTAAGTAGTGATGTGTGATGATGCTATCAGATACTCATGTACAGTACAATGCAAGTTATATTTATATAGTCTTGCATGTCTTTCTCTCTTCTCACATCCTCCAGTAATGTAATATAGAGGTACAATCTTCTCAGTTGTTGCGTAACTACAGTGACTGAGACACCGTGAATGAGATTGTAGACGTTTACAATCGAAATGTGGTAATTCACTCCGGTTGTTACAAGAGCTCAATACAGAATGATGGAGGGAAGCAGTTATTTGATGGCTTCTAAATTGATGATGTAAAGTAAAAAAACACGTGGCAGTTAGCTACATGAGAGTTGATCTGAAAAAATGAGTTGTGTGTGCTTTTGAATTTCATTCGCTTCTATTGCTACGCCAAAATCATTTATCCATGCAGTCTAGGCTGTCACTGCACCACAGTGCTGCATCATTGGAGGTGCCACACTTCAGATGAGACGTTAATTTGAGGTTCTGTTTGTGCCTGTTCAGGTGGATAGTAATGATCCCATGGCACTGTTCAAAAAGAAGGAGGTTTGTCCCGGTATCCTTGCCAACAATTCCCCAGATAAAAATTGGTTACTCAATCCTTGGCTGTTTGTGGGACAGTGCTGTGTGCAAATTGTCTGCCGCAATCGCTCAGAAGAGCAACAACCATACAAAACAATATCAAAAGGAGTTGTCATCAGTTAGATTTCATGTTTTGAGTTAGGAAGACATCTTTTTGACCACAGTGGAGTTTGACAGTATTTTCTAAAAAGGCTTTTTGAAAGAAATGATGGAAAACAATTATCTTAAGAGAAACACCTGAAACCTTAAGTGTAGCTGAAAAGAAACTTATCTGTGTTATATTCAGGGAAATGCCAGGAAATGTTACAGTCATCAAGACATACGTGACCACGTTGAGCTGAAACAAATTATTGTTACAATGAGACCTCATTGTCATAGGTTTCTTCCAGGATATTATTTTTATTCTTTATGTGCGGTAAAGTGTTGCACTGCTAGGATTAAAAGTGCATTCTTTTGAGAAACCTCTTGAAATTCATACCTGGAGTGCTCCGTGCTCAATATCTTTCACAGAAAATCTGTGCCTGACGAGATATTCATTTTCAGAACCTTGTGGCTGTAACTGAGGTTAGTTTAATTAAGGTTTCACATGCGCAATGCCTCTTCACAGCAGGTTCTGTAGATCTGGCACATTGACTTAATTGTTTTAATGAGGAAATCTGCTGCTCTGGAGAAGGCTGAGATCCAATCCCACATTCACAGTCCACGCACCTTTATACAAGTCCTGTTTAGGTTGCGCAAATGCATGCTGAGTTTCGAAGAAGTCTCAGCTTACAATTTGCAGAAAGTTCAAGTGAACTATGTTGCATTGTGTGCTCAGCGCTTTGGGACGTCCTCTCGACGTGAAAGGCGCTCTACAAATGTAAATTTGTTGTTGTTGCTGTTGTAGTTTGCCAATTTGCTCATTCTCTTTGCTCAACAAACACAGCCCTGCTTCAAGTCCTCCGCCTTATAAGACCCCCTCAATCGATGGGCAAGCTTTCAGCCATCTTCCCCTCTCTGGAAGTCCATCCCTCTGACTCACTCCCTCCATTCTACATTCAAAGCCCACCTCAAGACTTACCTCTTTGACGATGCTTTCGGTCATCTTTTGCCTCTCCACCATCTTCAGCTCCCAGCCCTGGCTTGGGTCCCAGGCCAGCAGTGCGAAGTGCTTTGAGACGTCCTCTCTGCATAATAAATGTATTAGTATATATCGTTACTTTTGTTTACGGGTGTGACTGGAGTTCAACAGCACTGATGGTGCACTGTATGCCGATCATTTCAACAATTCTTTGTGTTACAATCCCGCCGTAAACGCGTGATGATGAGGCATTGATGCTTGATAAATTCCCCAAACATGATGTTTTCTCTCCTCACTTTGCTTTTCATTTCAGCTGTTAAATCACAAGATAAAAGCCTGCTCTCAGCTGTTGGAGAGCAGAATGTTTGTGTCTGTGCTCGGCCACCTGCTCGCTATCGGTAACTTTTTGAACGAGAATGCCAGGAAGGAGAAGATAAAAGGATTTCGACTTTCATCCCTGACCAAAGTAGGTTGTGGACTTGCAAACGGCTGTTGTTGCTTGTAAACTAAGTGGATATTTCAGACAGGGGAGGCCTGAAATGTGGGAAGTCTCGGACTTCAAATAACAACAACTTGCATTTATATAGTACCACTCATGCAGAGTAGCGTCCCAGAGTGCCTTCTGAGACTGAGTTCCTGTCTGATATTATACTATCCTTTCATACCAATACTAATTTTGGTTTGGAATAAGAAGATCCTTCGAACCACTTGATTTCATCCTTCCAGAATGTCTCATCCACCTTCGACAAAGACTCCACCACCCACACCCCCAGCAGTGCACTGGAGTATCAGCCTAGATCAGTGGTGGCTAACCTCTTTGACCTGCAAAGTAAATGTTTCTTGATTGAATATTTCTTGATTTATGGCACATAATTGCTGTTTTGTTATTTCTATGATTATTTTGTTGGCCAACCGAAAGAGGTGGGTTGAATTCACAACCTTCTGACCCAGAGGCGAGAGTGCTACTAACTGAGCTAACGTGACACCTTGAAAGAAACAGACTGATTAGCAACTGTCCCGAGCGTGTTGTAAATACTCACATACTGATGCAGATCTTATTGTTTCAGCTGGTAGAGATCCGAGGGAAGGACCGAACATTCACTGTACTCCATGCCCTCATCGAACAGATTATGCTGCAGGAACCGGCCTTGACAACCTTTACGCAGGAGTTGACTGAATTTGAAGCTGTGCCAGGCGGTGAGTTTACATTTACACCAAAAGCATTCTGAGCCGTGAAACACCACCTAACATTAGCCTGTGGTTTTAAGGTTAGTCTTAGTCTTAAGGACTAGTCTTAAAAATAGTACAGGATTGTACAAAATTCTAAAGTTCAGTCTCAATTTCAGAACACTAAGTTAAGACTTCTAACTGAGACTGAATTCCGGGCAATTTTATGACAAAATGGTTTTACAGTCTAAGACTAGTTGGAATTTAGGATTTGTAAAAGAGCAAAGTAAATTGGGTCCCATTTTTTATTGTGAATTCTTTCTGTTTCTTCCTAGCTTCAATTAAAGGTCTCATTGCTGAAGTGGATGGTAGGTGAACAATCAATTTGAAATAAGAATGGATTATGGAGCTTTCTCTTGTCTTATGTGCTGATCATTTGTGATTAATCTTCCCATAATCCTGGTAAAATAATGATGTTGCAGAAACCTTCTAATGATTTTAAAGAACAACAATTTAAAAAGTACGCCTCAAAGGACAAAAAGTACCTCTTTGACCACGCTTTTGGTCGTCTCTTCCCTTGCCCAGCCAGCTCAGGGAACGCACTTTGCGACATGCTGCCGATGGGAAAAGGGCGCTGTATAAATGTGAATTGGGTATTGTATTGTACTTGGGGAGTGCTGAATTTTTGCTAGATGCCGTCTTTCGGGTGAGATGTTAAACGGAGGTCCTGTCTGCCTGTTTGGGAGGACATTAAAGATCCCATGGCACTATTTGAAGACAGAAGGGAGTATCTTCCAGACTCCTGACTAATACCCCTCTGGATTGAATGGTCATCCGGCTCATGGCTTGCACCTCAGGCACTGACAATATCGGGATCCAAGGATGCACACTCCACTTCACCAAGCCAGTCAGGAACCTAGGCGTTTTGTTTGACCCTCAACTGTCCTTTCTCCCGTACATCTGTGCTCTGACCCGCTCTGCCTTTCCCCAATTCCACGACATTACCCGACTCCCCCTCATAGTCTCACCCCTCAGGCCGTCGAATCCTCATACATGCCTTCATTACAACCTGGCTCGACTATGCCAATGCTTGTCGGCCTTCCCAACTCTTCCCTCCACAAGCTGCAGATCTTCCAGAACTCTGAGGCTTGTGTCCTCTCCTTCACCAGGCTCCGTGACCCCCATCGCTCAGCTCCACTGGCTCCCCATCCCTCAAGAGGAACGAGTTCAAAATTCTCATCTTCACCTTCAAGGCCCTCCGTGGCCCTGCCCCCTCCTACCTCTCCAACCTGCTAACCCCTTATCAAACTATCAGCTCCCTCCGCTCAGCAGGCTCTGGCCTGCTCCATGTCCCCATTCTGCCTGCCCCACCATCAGTGGTCGGGCATTCAGCATCTCTGCCCCCACCCTCTGGAACTTCATCCCACATTCCCTCGCTCCCTCCCTTGCCTCCTTTAAGGCACACCTCAAGACCTTCCTCTTCGACCGTGCCTCCGACCACCTTTCTGCCCTCCACCTTCACTTATCCCAACCCTCCCGCTCGGGTCCTAATCCCTCACAAATGTAGTTTTGTATTGCATGGCTGTTTGTGTGACACTTCTGCCACAAACGAGAAAACAGGGAAAACTCGTCCAAAGATGAGTGTCAGTACGAGTCTCAGATCGAGAATTCATGGAAGACAGATTGTGTTTGAATAATTTTTGGCATGTTTATACTTCTGTGAAATTGTTCTCTTCTAGTAATTGTATGTACCTAGAATAACACGTGCCACAGCATTCGTTTAAAGCTGTCAAATTCTTCACACGTTTTCCCAAGATATTCAATTTGGGATTCTTCCATGGGATTTTGCATTTTAAACCTTAAGATATGTTTATGCAAAATTTCCACCATGCTTTTTAAGAAAAGTGGTACCTTGTGTTTGCAGGCTGCCTCTCCCAGCACATTACCTCTGGAATTGGTTCCGCTCACTCCAGCAATTTAAACAGACCATTTGTCACACGTTCTTTATTTTTATTTATCGCTTTGGCTTACTGTCTGTAAGTTACATTGGATACGAGTCCCATTTACCAAAAGTGATTTCACTCTGCCTATTTTTCTGTGTGGGTTTGTCAGCATGTCTCGCTCTCACTCTCTCTGCACGTGTGCTTTCTGTTTCTTTCTGTCTGTCTGTCTGTCTGTCTGTCTGTCTGTCTGTCTGTCTGTCTGTCTGTCTCTATCTCTCTCTCTCTCTCTCTTAAGTGTTTCTTTGCCTCTTTCTGTCTGTCTGTCCGTCTGTCTCTCTTGCTCTTCCACTCTCAGTCTCTCTGTTATATTTAAGTCATCAGAATGCGCATTATTGTTGAAATCCAGTTTTGTGCTTCAGGATAAAATACACAGAAAACAAAACGCAAAATGCTGCAGATGCTGGAAATCTGAAACAAAAACAGAAGTCGCTGGGAACACTCAGCAGGCCAGGCAGCATCTATGGAAAAAGGAAAGCGAGTCAACATTTCGGATCCACAACCGAGGCTAATCCCTGATGGGCTCTGACAAAGGGTTGTGCATTCGAAACGTTGACTCACTTTCCTTTCTCCATAGATGCTGCTTGATCTCCTGAGAGCTCCCAGCAACTTCTGTAAAATACCCAGATGCTTGTTTAGTGGCGATACATTAGCAGGAACAGCCAGGCATTGTGCAATTTGCATGCACTTGTTACCTTAGTCAAGGAATGCATGCGTGTTGTGTACATGCATATACTTAAATTTGTTTTAGCTTTTAAACTGAACATAATGGAATATATTTTTAATGAAGGAGGAAGGTGTTCACCCCAGGGGTTGGAGCATCAGGGCCTCATGAGTTGAGTTTACTTTGGAAATCATCCTTGTGCATTTGACTTTGTTAGGTGATTTACCCGAGAGGAAAGTCCCAACACCAGTCATTATTCAGAACGTGACACTTTGAGATGTTGAGACTGCGGGATTAATTTTAGGACAAATCTAAGATTTTTGCTACAATAAACAAGGCTTGAATCGCTGAGGCTGGCAGGGATCTGGGAGTTGATCCTGGCTTGTGCTAGTGAATGTGTCTAGAATTCATTCAATGTTGATACAGTTTTTAGAAAAGTAGAATGGGAATGACAACGCTCAACTTGAAAATCTGCTTTAGGAAGAGATTTTAGGTGCCTGCTGTGCTGTGCTGTGATGCTCCAGCAGTCATCAGCATATTTCCCCGTTAGCAACTCTGAATTATTGTTAGTGGTTCCTAAAGAGGCAGGTGGGAGCCTTGGCTTAATGTCCATTGAAGGACGACAACATTTGACAATGCATCAGCTCCCCCTCCCAGTGTCCTGGTACTGCATTGCACCCCAGTCTGTGAATTTTATGTATTTTCAATTTTATAATTATTATAAATCTGTGACACTCACTGTGCTTTACAGAGTTCATTTGTTCTATAGATGGGTAACCAGCAGGGACAATGTCACTAGACCATGAGATGATGGGGCATTTCCTTTGGTCTTGCCAGCCCTATTCCTCAGCAGTTATATACAGTAGTTGTCTCCAAAATGTTCCTGCTGTTTAATAAACTAGTTGGTTTTAACACATTCCCAAATATGCCTCATGTGATTGGACTGTTTGAGACTGCTGTTTTGGCCTCGCTGATGGCAACCTAGTGTAGTGTGACTGCCTTAGATACCTTAGTTTTTCATATTGTCTGAACCTTACTGTTTTAAGGTAAATTTGCAGCCATTACATTTCGATAATGTACTGCAATTTGGTTCTCGCAGACAGCTGTAGGGTGGCTAAGTATCTGCTAGGTGGTGCTGTTAAGCTCGTAGGAGTCCGCCTTCTCACTCCCACTGCCATTTGGTCATCAGAGGTAACACAATCCTAATTCCCTATGTTCTGTGCAATTCTAGAAATCTAGAAAATCTGCCTGTTCTGAACAGTTGCGTGCTGGCTTCCTATAATTGATGTCGCACTTGGGTCTAAATGCAACAGCATCATTTGCAATTTATGTACGCCCCAGGCTTCAAATCTTTGTGTGCAAACCATTTTTTTTCCATGGATCAGTTTAAAAATTTGTTTAATGCAGATAATGAATAATTAAGATGTCAGTTTAGCTGATCTTAGAAATGGTTTAGTACTGTGGCTCTTTTTATCTACGCTTTAAAGTGTTCTTAACTCTCAGAACGCTCAGTGTGAAGGTCAAAACAATAAAGACTCCAGATTAATTTAATAATGTTTGTAAAAAAAACAATTGTGATAGCTGTGGCAGTTATGGGTAGTTAGAGGCTGCACAATAAAAGGCTCAAACCAACACTGGAAGCAGTTTAAGGCAATTAACTAAATGATATAGTCTGGTGTTGACTTTAACCTGTGGAACCTATAAAGCCAAATTTACTCATCATCCAAACCTTAATAATAACAATGCGTGCATTTGATATAGCGCCTTAACATGTCTTTGAGACGTCTCAAAGCATTTCACAGAATGTACTGTAAGGTGTATATTTTGCGGGAGAAATGAATCAATTGAGTATTTATTGCCTACTTTTTAAAGTCTTTTAAGCAATTTTTCTTCACCTATTTGCAACATAACAACTTGCATTTATATAGCACCTTTCAAACGGGGTAGAATCTCTTTAAGATTATACTTTCACTCTGCTCCACTCTCTGATGAATAGCAGAAGCAGGGAACTTGTTTCATTGATGGTATCCGCATGCTAGTTGCTGGGAGCCATAAGACCATGACTTGAGTTTGCTTTCATTCCCTTTCTGCCTCTCCCTGGATGGCCAAATGAGATCAGCTGTTTGTGGAATCATGGGTGAACCCATGTGTACCATATTGTACTGATAATGGAAGTGTAAGTGCTTTCCATCCCCTATCCCCTGTAACTATTCATCTTTTCCTCCCTCTCCCAGGAAATGTAAATCGTAAAACACTAAAATCCTCCAAATAAGTCTGTATCTGCAAATCCCAGGACTGACCATTCAGTCAGACCCCTTTATCTCACTGGTGACGTAAGCCAAAGGGACCTCAGTGGAACATGTGTATTTGCTAGTAATTATGTCAATGCAATGAGTCAATTTCACTTCTGGAAAAAGCTTGTCAAGACACTGAGGTTTCTTTAGAAAACAAGCTTTGTTGTCGCCACAAAGTTAGTTTACTCCGCATTGTAATTCTTTATAAATCCTAAGATTCAGATCTGTGGAACTGTTGTTCACTTTTCATTGCTGATGACAATTCTCACCAGTGATAATGGCTTAGGCTTTAAGCGCTCTGGGTTGCTACCCTGTGAGAGGGGAGCTATATAAATGCAAGTTGTTGTTGTTGTTGTTGTTAGAAAGTAACACTTTCCCCACTGGGTTGTGAACCCCCAGAGTGTTGTGAATTCAAGTTCCATTTCAGGAATTGGACTGATGCTCAATTGCTGTCCTAGCAGAATGGTGAATTGTTGAATGGTGTCATCCTGTGATGGACATTAAGCAAGGTCTCACCTTCATGTTCAGGTGGACATTACACATCCCATGACATGATTCAAAATAAGAAAGGAGTTTCTGCTGGTCTCTTGGTCAACAATCTTTCATTCAAGTTAAGTGTGCCTATTCGGGGGATCTTGCTGTATAGGTTTAGGCGCTATATCACACACAAGGATTAGCAAACATATTGTTCCCATTCCATCTGTTATGCTTCACACCCCATCTCTTTGTTTGCCTGTTGAAACAGTTCTGAAGAACCAGTTGGAGAAAATTAATCAATACAAAAAAATATTTAAATCGAAGAACAAAGTGAACGCAGATAGAGAATTCTACAAGGAACTGAAGGTAATTTTCCACAGCACATCTTTATAGAGAAACAATGGGCAGTGATTTCAAATTCTTCCTCTTGTGGGTTCAAGCCTCACGTTGGGGACTTTGAGTTGATACAAAACCTGTGCCAATGCGGGACTAGGGATGCGCTGTGTTGCTGGAGGTTAAACAAAGGTTGAGTCCACTTGTTCAGGTGACCGTTAAAGAGTTTCTCCAAGGGTGCTAGCCAAAAATTCCCCAATAAAATTAGCTATTCACTTCATGGCTGTTTGTGGGACATTGCTGTGCAAACATTGGCTGCCGTGTTCACCTACAAAATACACAGTCACTACTTACAGTGCATCCTGTGAAGCGCTTTGAGAGAGAGTCCTCTTGATGTGAAAGGCATATTATTTTGAGCCCAATGAATGGTCTGTGTAATGCTGCATTTGGAAGTCATATAAAACACAGGAGCATATAGAGCAATTTTAATGGTTTCTCTGTCATATAAAACACAGGAGCATATAGAGCAATTTTAATGGTTTCTCTGTCAATGTGGTCATCATAAACAATGCACATTAAAGCTTATGCCAAACTATTCCAGTGAAGGACGTGTTATACTGTACAGACTTTTTTTTATTTGGATTCTCAGTTAATGAGTAGGCCATGAACAAAATGAGCTACATTGAAAGTTATTTTCGATCAGCGATTGTTACAGAGAGAAGTCACAGTAATTCAAAACAAGCTAATTTCTGTATTTCACACCTTCACTAAATGAGATTTCATAAAGTGTGCTATTTACTATTTTCCATTAGATAATAAAAGCTGGAGGGTCAGGGTTCAATGGTAATAATGCAGCCACTTATACAAGTGCCTTCAGGTATCTCAGTTTCGTCTGAGATGATCACCTTTATGGGTTCTGCAAATCTCTGAAGTTACCTTAGGCTGTTTGACATGCAGTTCAACCAATATAAGCACTGCAGCATCAAAACCAAAATCTAGGTGGCTTAGGCATCGTGCATTATATTTTAACAGCATTTTAATAAAAACGCTGAACAGAGATCAGCTGCCAAATGATTATGGTAATGAATTCCGGATTTTTTGCATCAGTGACTAAAAAGGTTAGTTACAGTAGCACATACTTTCAGCCACTATGCCCTGAATCTCTGGAATTCCTTGTTTCAATCCCTCCGTTTTGTCCACCCCCCCCCCCCCCCACTTTGCCTGCCTTCAAATCACACCTGAAGACTTTCCTTTTCAACTGTGGCTTTGATCACTTCCCCGATACTGGTGTGAAGTGCACTATAGAAATGCAAGCAGTTGTTGTTGACAGAGGAATATAAGTGAAAGATAGATAGATAGAGAGAGAGAGAGAGTTGTAGGGGAACAGACCCGCATTACTCATTAGTATGTTAACTTTTTGCTACCTTGTGGGAAGCTAAATCCGTTTGGAGAGCCGGATGAAAGACAGTGTGAGCGGAATGTCATTTTACCCGAGTATTTGCAAAAATAATCTTGTTTAAAAGATCAGCAATGAAACTTGACCGTAACAAATACTTTTTTTCTGTTGCCTAACATTTCACAAGCAAACAAGATGTCAGGCAACAAATGTTTTGCTTGTGAAAACCTTTACACTAAATGGCACTTTTTTGGTTTGTTCAATTTCAGAGTCTAATCCAGAAGTATGAAGCTGAGCTCATTCAGCTGTCCAAACAATGTGATGAAATGAAGAAGCTCTACAGTGATGTCTTGGTAACATTAACATAATAGCCACCAATCATTTGCATGGAATTGTATTTGTCCCTTAAAATGATGTCGACCTCACAACTGTTCATGTTCCTGACAGGTGAAGTTTGGAGAACCACAGAATCAGGACTCGCAGGAAATGTTTGGATGGATCTCCTCCTTTGTCAATGACTTCAGCAAAGCCTGTGCAGATAAAAAAGCACTGCAGACTGGAAACAGATGAGAAGTAACACTGCACATTATGTTAGATAAATCTTTCCTCTATCTGTGTTTTCCCTGCAATATCTTTTTGTCCTCCAGTAAAAGATCAGTTCAGCTCTGTGAGCCTCTCTCTATAATATCAAGCCCTATGTACATAAGAATTTGCTCAGCGAAAGAAGACCAAGGACCATCCAGTTCGCCTTCCACCGTCCTGACAGTTGCATGCACATCATGTCCCAAACTATGTACTGTATCCTGAGATATTATTTCCTAAGGTTATGTCCCAGAACATTGTTCGTTGTTCTTCACTGAGCCCTTTCTGATATGTCAATGTTCTATTGCAGATAGGGCACCCAAATGTTGCAGGTAAAAGGGGTCTTTCACTTAACTCGAGTTATCGTCCTCTTTATTAAAGGCTCCTGCTCTGAACCCAAGCCATCATTCTTCACCTCGGAAACAACTGTGACATAAAGATAAGAATGGCTGTTACATTAGTACGGAACAATTACCATTTGAAGTTTGAAAGTCCCTTGATATTGAAACTAGGGATTAACTTATGCTGATCGCTACAAGTAGTGAATTTTTTAATATATGCCCTTATGATGGTAAATCCTATTAAAGGCTGCTATTTTTAGCAATCAGTGTAAAATATTCCCCACTCAGTACAGAAGCTTTAAATTAGTTGGGGCCTGGCGGCTATCATTCCTTATTGCTGTGATACACTAGGTATAAAGAGAAGGGGTTTCCCTGCAAAAATAATATCAATAGAACCCTTGTAAATATTTGAAAATTTCATTTTTTAAAATCCTTATTCCTTCATTTTTTTTATTGTTAGCACTGATTCTCAAGATCACAAGGTACATGATAAGGCGCTATATCAAATGCAAGGATAATTATAATCACAACAATTATATAGCACTCTTCAGGCAGGGCAGCATCTCAAAGTGCATAGAATTATAAGATCAGGTCTCCCATCCACTACCATCCATAAAATCCAACTCATTCAGAACTCTGCTGCCCACATTCTCACCCGCACGAAACTCCGCTCCCCGATCACCCCAGTCCTTGCCAGACTGCACTGGCTGCCTATCCCAGAGAGGATCGACTTCAAGATCCTCACCCTCGTATTCAAGTCCCTGCACTCCTCTGCACCCCCCTACTTCTCTGACCTCCTCTCTCCTTAAAACAGCACCCGTTGCCTTCGTTCCTCCGGCCTCCTCCTTGTCCCCCGAGTCCTCCGCTCCACCCTCGGCGGCCGTGCCTTCAGCCCTGAAGGGCCGTGCCACTATGCCCTGAGGCTCTGGAACTCCTTTCCTCACTCTCTTCGTCTCGCTCCCTCCCTTCCCATTTTCAGGTCTCTGCTGAAGACCTTTCTTTTCAACCGCGCTTTTGGTCACCTTCCCCTCCCTCCCCCTGACTCGGTCCCAGGATCCGTTACTGTAAAGCGCTCTGAGACGCCGTCCGGCGTGGAGGATGCTATATAAATCCAAGTTGTTGTTGTTGTTGGACGAGTTTCACGTGTCCCAGTGTGTTACGAAGATTGTAAAGTCAGGAACAAAGAAAAGGTTGTGCAATCCTTCTCCCTTGCTATGCTATTTGGACCAAGTTTACGAAACATCACTTTTATCTCTCTTTTGCCTAGGTGCCAAATTGGTATTTCTACTTCATTTAGAGGCAGGAATGTGCTCTCTTTGCGATGTGTCCCGAATGCATTGAGTTAACTGATCGTCTATGGTACAGTATTGATGACCACTTGTTCTGCACAAAGAAGCACTCCATGTCTATGCCATTGGAGACCTTCCCAATTTGAAATGATTCTTCACGTTCATTTCAACTTTTTTTACAACACAAACAGGTTTGAGATCTATGACTTAGCTCTTTTCAGAGGTTACAACCAGGGTCCATTTGTATTTTTTTTAATACTTTCCACGGCTTCTATAATAATAATAATAATCCTTGCATTTGATATAGCGCTTTTCACGTCGGGAGGACGTCCCAAAGCGCTTCACCGAATAGACTGTAAAGTGAATTGACTGTATATTTGTGGGCGAACGCGGCAGCCAATTGCGCACAGCAATGTCCTACAAACAGTCGTAGATTGAAAATGACCAATTTATTATTGTTTTGTTTTGGAGGGATTATTATTAGGCTCTGTGTGGAGTAAGGAAACTTGCCCAAGGTTTCGCCCTGATCTGCCTGGGATTGAACTCAGGTCTCTCACTTGCAAAGCGAGTGCTCTAACCACTGAGCTACAGGACTCCACTTCTATGTCTTATACGGAGATGTCTTCTATGTCTTCTATGCCAACGGCTTCTATGTTTTCTATCATGGCTTCTATGCTGTAGAACCTTGCTGTAGTGTGCAAGGAGTTAATATTCTTACTCAGTCTAATTAATCGATGTGAAGTTTTTTTTAGTTTTTAACATGCATTTAACCTTGGGCCTGAATGGACTAGATAATTCGTAAAAATGAATGATATGTGGGACATGTATGTATAAAATATCATTATATTCACTGAATTTGGTTGAGACTCTCAACTACGGACTATTAGAAAAACTGATTTGAACACTTGAAGTGAAGGTGGATGGGGTTATGCAACAGTGCAATGTTATGTTTTCTTTCCAGCTGCAGATTAATAGTAATTAACCATAAATGACTCACAATTGTCAATAAACCAATTTGACATGCAGTGCACGGTAAAATGTTATCTAACCTACTGTCTCTTATTACTGTTTTCTGGTGCGACTATGAATACACATTGCAACAGCTGCAAAGGGGTGCAATTTTGACTTGCTCCCTACGATATTGCGATCCGCAACAGTAAATCTTTGCAAAGTAATATAATGCCGCCACACCTTCAAGAGTTGCTGACAGAGCAAGTTAATTAATTTTAAGATGAGCTTCCACAATCATAATTCATAGAATTATACAGAACAGAAGGAGGCCATTTGGCTCACCGTATCTGTGCCGGGTCTTTGAAAAGAGCTATCCAAATGAATCCCACATCCCCGCTTTCTTCCCATAGCCCTGCAAACTTGTCCTCCCCAAATAATTATCTACTCTCTTAAAAGTTGTTATCGAATCGGATTCCACCACCCTTTCAGGCAATGCATTCCAGATCCGAACAACTCGTTGTGTGAAAAAATTTCTCCTCACCTTCTGTTTCTTTTAACAATTATTTTAAATCGGTGTCCTTGGGTTACTGACCCACCCGCCAGTGGAAATTCTCCTTGTTCACCCTATCGAATCCCCTCATAATTTTGATAACTTCTATTAAGTGTCCTCTTAACCTTCCTCTTAAACTTCTCTGCTCCTAGGAGAATAATCTTAGCTTCTCTCGCCTCTCCTGATAACTGAAGTCCTCATTCCTGGTACCATCCTGGCAAATCCCCTTTGCACCCTCTCCAATGCCTTGATATCCTTCCTGAAGTGTGGTGCCCAGAACTGAACACAGTCTCTCGCTGAGGTCTAACCAGTGTTTTATAAAAGTTCATCATAACTTCCTGACTTTTGTATTCTATGCCCCTATTGATAAAGCCTAGTATCCCGTATGCTTTTTTAACAGCTTTATCTCCCTGTCCTGACACCTTCAAAGATTTACTTATATGAACCTCCAGGTCTCTCTGTTCCTTCACTCCCTTTAAGATTCTACCATCAGCTTATATTACCTTTGCTCATTCTTCCTCCCAAAATACATCACTTTGCATTTATCCACATTAAATTTCATCTGCCACCTGTCCTCCCATTTTACCAGTCTGTCTGCATCCTCTTGCAGTCTGCTACTATCCTCCTCAGTGTTTACTACTTTTCGTAGCTTAGTATCATCTGCAAAAACTTGCTTACAAGTCTCTTATGTGGCACTTTATCAAACGCCTTTTGAAAATTCATATAAACTACATCAACTGCACTACCTTCATCCACCCTTTCCGTTACTTCATCAAAAAATCAGGTTTGCCTTTAACAAATCCATGTTGGCTGTCCTTTATTAACCCATATTTGTCTAAGTGAAAATTTATTTTGTCTCGGATTATAGTTTCTGAAAATTTCCCCAGTATTGACATTAGGCTGCGGGGCTTGTAGTTCCCGGGTTTATCCTTCTGCCCCTTTTTGTACAGGGGAGTAACATTTTCAACCCTCCAGGCCTCTGGCACCACCCCAGTGGCCAAGGAGGATTGAAAGTTCTAGCCAGAGATTCCGTTATTTCCACCCTTACTTCCCTCTGTACCCGAGGATGCATCCCGTCTGTACCGGATGACTTATCTACCTTGAGCACCGACAACCTTTTTAGTACCTCCTCTCGGGTTATTCTTATTCAATTTCTCTACCTTCTCCTATGATACTGTGGCATTGGCTGCATCGTCTTCTGTTGTGAAGACAGATGCAAAGTATTCATTCTGTATACATCAGCTATGCCCTCTGCCTCCACAAGAAGATTTCCTCCTTGCTCCCTAATTGGACCCACCCGACCTGTACACCTGCACTGCTTCCATTTGAGCAAAGATGCATCTTCCAGTATTTCCTCTAAATTCTGGTCAGCAATTGTTTCCAGGAACTAATGTTAATAATAAACTTGCATTTGATATAGCGCCTTATCATGTCGCCTTAGATTATGTGATTCCTTGCCCCAAACCCACAATCTTCTGATTCAGAATGAAAGTGCACCAGGTTGACCCACAAAAAAGCTCTTGCTTTAAACTATATTGCTTTATTGGCAGAATATCCCTTTCAGTCTAATAATCCTCGCACTTGAAACGTCATCACCTCATAGCTCTTTACAGGATTTATTGTAAAGTGTAGTGACTGTGTGGATTTTTTTTGAAGGTGAATGCAGCCAAGAATTTGTGCAATGTCCAGCAGTGTCCTACAAACACCAACACTTACATTTATTTATCCATGAACTGAATGCCCAACTTTATTTGGGGGGATTGTTGGCCAGGATACCTGGAGAAATTGCATTCTCTTTTCTAATGGTGCCAAGGGATTTTTAATGTTCACCTGAACAAGCAAACGTGACCTTGTTTTAACATGTTGCAGGTGTATAGATTTAATACTTTGTCATTCCTCCGGTTTATACAATCTTATACGATTCAATTCAAAGTGAGTTTGTGTCTGTTGAAGTGCAATTATTCAATCACAACACATACGTGCTTTTACTTTTTAACATACCCACTTTACAGAGTTTGCCCAATAACTGACTGCAGTGAGTTCTATAAATCGCGTTACTCAAGTGATTGAGAATGTTACAGTTCTCAAAGGCTGACTTCAAAGTACACCCAAGGTCACTTATTTACCAAGTAGGAACAGTTTACTTTTGTTTGTGGTCAATGAGTCTCTTTAATGAAGATACTTCTGTCACTCAGCGTTACTCTAAATGATTACAATAAATAATTTGCTAAATTGTTCTATTAACATGGTTGTCTGATTTGATGTTGTCTCATCCTTCAATTACAACCATTGATTGACCTTACATGCTCACCCTGCTCCAAGTTGTTCTCACCTTGTTACTCAGAGTGTTGACTGGCTGGTAAATATTGTGCATTTCAAACTGAGCCTGGCTCAGTTTGAAGCACTCTCTCCTCTGAGCCAGAAGGTTGTGGGTTTAACCATCACACCAGGACTTTGAACTCACATAATCTAAGATGACACTCCAATGCAGTGCTCAAGTGAGGTACTGTCCGTTGAATAGGATGTTGAAACGAGATCTTGCCTGCTTGTTCAGATGGACGTTCAAGATCCAATGACACTATTTGGAAGAAAAGGGAGTTTCTCCTGCTCTCCTAGCCAACAACTGCCCCAATAAAATTGATCATTCATGTCATGGCTGTTCGTGGGAAATTACTTTGTGCAAATTGACTGCCGCATTTGTCTACAAAATTCACAGTCACTACGTTTAGAAGTAA